ATGAAAAGATTATCAAAAAGTATATTAAGACTATTTTCTGCAATGGCTATAAGCATATGATTAAATTAGCTTGATATGACTTATTACGACTCGTATACTATATACATATGACTATATACATTCATGTATGCTTACAAACTATTGTATTGTAGGCGAGAAACAGTATAGGCGGCACTAGTGGTAAGGTTTAGTACCGAGAGCGAGTAGCCGCGCCAGATATCGTGAATGCGAGAGAGAGAGAGAGAGAGAGAGAGAGAGAGAGAGAGAGAGAGTAGGGAGAGGAGAGCGGAAAATTGTATTAAGAGAGAGCGAAGAGAAAGCGAGCGAGCTCTCGTGTGCGAACTGTCGTAGAAATAAGTCGAACATAAGTCGAACATTGTACTATCGTGAAAATATATCGTTTATTCATATAAAATACAGACTACTACTTTTTATATTCACTCCACGTCCTGACGCGTCGAATAACCAGAGGTTCAAGTCCCTCGTGGAGCGGGCACGTCGAAGAAGCCTCAGTTAAAACAGAAGGACCAGATAAGGTGCAGTATAACAATTGACTACCCTCCTCCTTCAGTCAACATGCCGATTGTTTCACAGGTGCTGTCTTCAGCGGTAAATGCTTGAAACAACATTTGTCCGATACTAACCGCTGTCTGCTACTACTCGACCTTTCCCTACTTGTCGTCCCCTACGCAATACCTTTTTGCAGCGCATGCATTTGTGAAAGCCGTTCACGACTTTTCTCATTTCGACACGCTTGTCGTAACTATTTCCACACATAACAGCAGAGAAGTAACGAGTTACTTGTAACATCGTTACCGTTACAGTCACATTTTTTTGGTAACTATAACGGTAATGGCGTTACATTTTCTGATCGGTAACTGTAACGGTAACGTAGTTACATTTATACAGTAACGGTAACGATTAATTCGTTACTCTAATAGTTATTTTTTTATTTGAAATCTATTAAATTAGGTCTATACATAAGCCAGTAGCAATAAGCAAAATGACCAATCATAGTCCATCCTCAATCTGGCAGATTGCAATCATGATTGTGATTGGTCACTTTGCTTATGTCTTAAGCCTATGTCTTGGGCCTTGTACACTGGACGTGATTAGCAACGAGCGATGAGCGATATCTAATAAAAGTTCTTATTTCTTCTTAAAGCAGAGTTCTAATTGGATATCGCTTGTCGCTAATCGCTAATAATCTTATAGATCAGCGCGATGCACGATGTGACACGCGATATGCGACGAGGGATATCCAATCAGGTATCTCAGATATACAGGGTGTCTCGTCACTACCGCATTATCTCTTAAGGGCGGATTCCTGAAGTAATTTGAATAAGAAAATCCTAATACAAAAATGGCGAGACTATAATACTTTCCAAATTATGAACGATTAACGTTAACCAATTATACGAAGGCTGCTCCGTAAGTTTTGCGACTTGGCAACACTGGCGTTGTTAGGTAAAATCTAACCTTACCATCAAAAAGTTTGACAGTTTGGGAGATTTTTTTACTCGAAACGTTTTGTCGTACGGAGGCTACTTACAGTATTGTTTACAGTGACTTGAAAATTGTGTCTCAGCAAATGAAATTAACACGAGAATACTTTCGTGCGATGATTTTTTACGACTTTCGACGTGGATTATCGAGACAAGAGTGCATCGATCAACTTACTTCCACTTTTGGCAATGAAGCACTACACACGGCCACTATTTGTCGCTGGTTTAATGAATTCAATCGTGGTCGTAGTTCGCTCACCGACGAACCTCGCGAAGATCGTCCAAAATCAGCTGCTGTGCCAGAAAACATCGATGCTGTGCGTGAATTGATAATGCAAGATCGACATGTGATATACCGTGAGATTCAGGCATCCCTGGGTGTTGGTATGAATTGCATACCAACGATATTGCATGAACATTTGACCGTAAAAAAAATTTGTTCACGTTGAATCCCGCATAATTTGACAATTTCTCAAAAAAAGGATCGTGTAAATTGGTGCAAAAAAATGCTGAAGAAATTCGATCGGGGTGCGTCAAATGCCGTATATAACCTCTACACGGATGACGAGTCATGGATCTATGCATATCAGCCGGAAATTAAACAGCAGTCGACTGTGTGGGTCTTTCAAAGTGAACCTAATCCAACAAAAGTTGTTCGCGCTCGAAGCACTTCGAAACAAATTGTCGCCTGTTTTTTCGGAAAAACTGATCATGTGGCAACAGTACCCTTAGAGAAACGTAGAACGGTCAATTCTGAATGGTACACAACCATTTGTTTGCCAGAAGTCTTCGGCCAAATAAGGAAAAACAACTCAAGACGACGAATCATTCTTCACCATAACAATGCGAGCTCTCACACATCGGCTCAAACAACCGCCTATTTGAGCAGTGAAAACATCGAATTAATGGGTCATCCACCGTACAGTCCTGATTTGGCACCCAATGACTTCTTTTTGTTCCCGAACATCAAGAATAAACTGCGTGGTCAACGATTTTCGACGCCAGAAGAAGCGGTTGATGCGTTTAAAACACATGTTTTGGAGGTACCACTTTCGGAATGGCATGGATGCTATAATAAATGGTTTGAGCGAATGCAGAAGTGTATTAATCATCATGGAGAATACTTTGAAAAACAATAAAGTCATTTTCAATGACAAATTACCGTGTTTTCCTTACTAGTCGCAAAACTTACGGAGCAGCCCTCGTACTGGCTAAAGTACGCGCGCTCAAATACAGTACAACACACAGTGATACAGGTGCATGCACATGTCGTCCCCTTTTCAACCGCTGTCTGCTACTACCCGACCTTCCCCTAACCAAAGTGCACGTGCTGCAGAAAGCATCGTGTTACCCTTTCGTTTAATGGATAATATCAGGTGGCAATCTAATATCCTAATTTTAAGAATAATATAAAAAGAGAGGAAACAGCTACTGAGTCGGAGCAGTTCAGTCTAAGTACGCGCACGTTACGAATCTGAAATATTCCAGGTAGCAGACAACCGTGATAATGACGTGATTTTTACGTTATCTGTTACGTCATTTTTCCTTCAAGTTAACCAAATAATTACATCTTTTTGACGGTCCTAAGTCACAGACCAGAGACGTCAGTAGTTCGACGTCATTTTAAACTTAATAATGACGTCCTAGGTACGTCAAAGTTGACGTTAAAATTGATTAATATTGTACTTTATGTGAGGTTATATTAGATTTATTGCAAAGAGGTAAGTTTTAATTGCATTAAACAGAAGTAGTATGTGAATATATTTTTTATTTGTAATACTTACAAAAAATGATACAATATATTTATATTATAAAAAAGACAAGAACATTAACATAAAGTACATTGCATAAAACGAAGTGATTTGAAGAACATTAATAAAATATATTAGATTAAATATGAAGAAGAGGAAAACACACCCAATTTTCGTCATGTAACGGTAAAAGAATACATTTTGCTTTTATACAATCAATATCCCATGTTTGTAATTGTTGGGACAACTTGCTTACACAATAAATGTTTAATTTTTTGGAATCAAACGGATATGAATAGAGTGATTCATATGATATGTATTGTTTTCCAATTAATTTTGTTGAACCACTTGTTGTTGAAATGATATTATTAATCTGTACTATTTCATTAGTTTTATTTAAAAAATGTGAATCTGCAAAACAATGTGAATGGTTTGATAAAGTGTAAT